AATTCGAGTGACAAATTGTAATTTTTCTCGCACGACGAGTATACTCGTCGTTCACAGCTAAGAGGTTAAACGAGAGACAAAGAGAAGTATAAAATATTAGAAAAGAAAAAAAAGGACAAATAATCGAAATTTCTAACGCTTCTACGCGAGGAAGCAACTTCACTTTCCTTTTGAATTTTCAAACGTATCTTCGAACTGAGCGTCGAACTGTTCGAAAGGGTGAAAAATGAAACTCGAGTCCGAACTCGGACCGAGCGAATCTCACATCGCCGGAAACGCATCGGGGATGCAGCGGCGACGACAAAAAGACACGATCGAATGCACGCGTTTCGCTCGTAGTATTCAGCAGTATCGTTCCATTTGCTCGAGGACACTGCATTCGCGGCCTGCGTAATCATTTTGTCCCGTTCGAGAACGCAGTAAGCTAACGACTCACCGAAACTACAATCTTTAAAAAATGGTGCTCCAAGACGATATACTCGGACATAAAATCGAGCAAGTAAACATGATGGACGCGAGAGAGCGAAAGGAGCGAAGGGAAAGAAAAGAAAAGAAAAAAAAAGAATAAGTTCTTAGAGAGTGGAGTGTCCTCGACGAGCCATCGATATAAAAAATCGAAATGGCGAATAAGTATTTATTCGTTAGGTTTAAGTGAGAAGGGTGCAAGGGTCGAGGCTCCAATATTCTCGAAACTGTCTTCTTTGAGGGAAACAACAGCAAAGAGTGAAAAATGAAAAAAGGAAAAATAATGAAATCAATGGTAAGAGAAAAAAAGAAAAAAAAAATCACTATCACAACTGTATAAAAAGAAAAGAAAAGAAAAAAAAATAGTTCTTCTGGTTAGCGAACAATTTGTTACGTTGCTTGTTTCTTCACATGTAAGCTCAAGCTACGACGTACTCACAGAAATAGAATGTACTTAAGCGTTGCTTCATTCGCTAATTATGATTTACGACCCTTTTCCCAATCGTACACAAACCCTCGACAAAAACTGTATCATCGTGTGTCCTTTCTGTCCTAGAACCACGTTAAACGAACAAGCGATGCGTTTAGTAGAAAGATAAACAGTATAGTTATAGTATAGTATAGTAAAACGACCGTAGAATGCGAACGACAACGGAATCTCAGGTATGACAGAGACAGGAACAGAGTGATCGCCTGCACCCTTCGTTAAATTATTTATAATCGTTTCGTAAAAAAGGAACACGCCAAGTTTATATAGTCTTTTTATGCGCCCCCTTTTTATTTATTTAGCCCCGGTTGATTCGTTACTTTTTTTTTTTTTTT